ATACAGGATTGTGGTGTTGAGGGAGTAGGGATGGGTTTTATGATTAGCTCCTTCAATTCTACCCCCCTTTTTATGTCCTTATCCATTTGTTAGAGAGAATTATGTTTGACCAATGTTATCCAAGCTTGGGGCAGCTTCAAACCCAGCCATTGGACTCTTGCATTCTTTAATCCTAGTTAACATACCAGTACCAGTGAACTAATATTGGCCCTAGAGGCAAAACATTTCAAACCTGGGAACTGAACACCCCCATTGCGGGATGGTTGGGTACCCATCCCCTCTCCCTTCCCCATCTGAGTGTACATTTTCACTATCTTTAGATACAACAATCTTTCCTTTTTTATGTTCAGGTGTAAACTGTTTTGCCTTCATGTATGTATATTTGCACTTTGTTTTACAGAATGTTAGAACAACAACAGATGTACTGAATTGGGTGTTTTTAAATAAAGACTGAGCTTGAGTACATTTGAAACAAGCCTAGTGTAGATTTCTTATGCTGAGTGCAAAATTCATTTTCTACACACCTGTTCAGTGTGGGTGGATCCTGTACTCTTATTTTCCTGTGATTAGAGTGCTTCTCGCCATTTTGCTGGGGAATGTATTTTATGAGTAAAATGTGCATAAAAAGGAAATCTGTGGGAAAGTATGCAATGCAATTAAAACATGTTTATTGCAACATTTATTATTGGAAGAGCTGTATTCAAACATTAGGAAAACATAATGGGTGTTTGTTTCCATGAAAACAGAAACAATTTACAGTTAACTTTTACAAATGAAACAAAAAGTCAGCTTTACTTTTTTTTTTAGTAAATATGGAAAGCCTGTAGGTTTTCATAGCAGTCTCCTCGCTAATACAAATGCACAGTAAAGAACCAAAAAATGTTTTTTATGATGCTCTTCAAAAAGACTCACCGTGCAACTTCAGTTCTAGATCTTTCTGCACTATTCAAGTTTAAATGAGAACTTTGGGAACTTTTTCAACTTCCCATAAATGTTTGCACATCAGAACCTTTCAGCAGCTATGTTTGGAGTTCTTTTTATTTTCCACTTTACTTACTGCTTTAATGCAAGAATGGGCACCTTGCATCTTTCACAGATTTTTTTCTGGCTGAGGGCAAGAAAAGAAAATGGGAGGTAGGAAAACAAGTGAAAGGCAAACCAGAGCAACAGGGCAGAAATAGCAGAGAAGCCTCCCACAAGAACCCTCATTATCCAAGCAGATCCTGAATCCGAGCAAGATTTTCTATCTATTTTAAACTATATACAGAGTTCGATCCTGCCTTACTCATACTTAAAACACTGAAAGTGGATCAAGTCAATGTCTCATTTATTTCAGTAAGTCTACTCAATATCTCGATTCTAAGCATGATTAAGTTGGATCAAGCTTCTCTTGCCCTTCTCTTGTTTTGTAAGAGTACATAAACTGTTTGGTGTATCCATTAAAAATTACAGCATGTTGCAGTCTTCTAACAAAATACAGATCATTTAATAATCAGCTCTTAATGAAGGCTCAGTATTGCCTGAAGTAAATATAAGTGCTGTATGTAAACAAAATAAACAATTTCTTTAAAAGGCAATAGCTTTTTATATCAACATTCTTCTAGCATTATAAATTTACACAGAACCCCGTCAAAATATATGAACGCATGATCATGTAAGTCTTCAAACCCTACTGAAGGCACTTGATTAATTTTGCCTGAAACAGCATTTGTCAAACTATTTTATTCTTTAGCTTTTCCCACTGACTGATAATTTTGAATTTGCAGTACCTCTAAGACTGCAAGTCTGTCACAGCTTTAAAGTATCCTGTATATGGCAAAAAAGTAAAACTCTTTTCCCTGAAGCTATTCCCTTGTTTTCAGCCCAGCATATTGTTGTGGCAGCTTCCATGCTCTAATGGAGTCTGAAAGTTCCACCGTTATTGCTAATATACCGTTACTCAAAAATGGGTTTGCGCTGTCAGTGTAAAATACCTATAATTAATTTTAATTATGTAATGCCCAATTCAATGCCCACCAGCCCCTGAATTCGGAGACTTACAGGCATCCTTGGCAGGGTGAGAGAAGTACAGACTCTATCTTCATCACCCCATTCTTCCCACCCTGCAGGTGAGCTCGATGGTTGATTTCAGTTGTCAAACTGGGGCCCTTGGGATGGGAAGATGGCTGGAGCGCCAAGCTTCTTCCCTCTCTCAGCCCTTCTCCAGGTTTGCTCTGATGGTCTCAGAGACGTAGCCACTGCTGTTCTTTTCATGCCAGCTGTGAGGTGGGCAGGAGGTCCAAGCATGGATCCCAGTTTCTGTCCTGACCTCATACCTGGGAATCTGAATGATTCCATGGCCACTGTCTAGGTCTCATAGGATCTCTCCGGCCAGTGAGCAATCCCACAGTAATACTGAAATTATATTTATGCGGGTTAACCACCAGAAAATATCTTCTGAATATACTACTATAGTACCAAAATATTTGACTTAGAATTATTTCCAGGTGACTGGAATAAAAATGTACTAAAAACCAATGTGTTTCCAACTGCACAGCATTAAAGACTTGACTATTTAGAAAAATGATTGTCTTCACAAAGCCTCCACTTGCTAGTGGCAAACACAAAAACCTCTGAGCGGAAAACTCTTAGCATTAAACATGCCTAAACTGTTACTAAATTAGAACCTTACAGGGATAAAAACAAAATTTAAACTTCTCTTAGAAGTTCTAGAAATGAACAATCAGCCTAGTGAAACAGCACAATGATAAGACTTTATACACTGCTAAAGGGCACAACCCAATGGAGTTGTTGGCTTTTCTTCTAAGCCTGCACAGAACCGTGTCTTGCATGTGCTTCAAACACTTCACTTGAACTACATGACCATGAAACTGAACAGCCAAGGAAAATGGGAATGCTTACGTAATGAAAAAAAAATGTGATACCACTCAAGGATACAGGGCAGTATCAGTTTCCTAGCAATTAAGAATGTGCTAAAGCTGGATTTTTAAATATATATATACATGCATTCACGGTTATTCATGTTCACACTGCCTGCATTTGGATGTCATCATAAACTATGGTTTATCGTGGTTGCAGGCTCACACACTCACCAACACATATGCCGGACACACTTCTAGTTTTTATTAGATGCTGTTTGTCATGTCATCCTGATCCAGCAAACTGTGGTTATTCCTAACAAGCTTGTCTGAAACACAACTACGAACTATGGGTGTGGCACCGGGTAGTTTCTACCAAACTATCATTACAGTTAAGCTTGGTGTATGGTTTAGATGACATACTCAACTGTGGTTATTCTGAAACATGTCCTTCTTCTCCTTGTGACTGTATTAGAAGGGGAAGAGGGGATTGCATGAGTCAAGAGGGAGAGTGGCCTGTTGTCATGGTAAGCCATGGCCGTTCATGACACCTAAATAGAACTACTGACTGGGTTCATGCAACACAACAAGCTACAGCGAGTTTCTTACGTTGTGATGTCATCTGAACCCAGTTGTGGTATTTCAGCATGGCACATTTAGCCTTTAGAAACTATAAAGAACCATTCCCCTCCTATGGTTCCTGCTTACTACTATGGTTTCTTATGACATCTGAAACCTATGGGTATTTTCAGGAAAGGGAGGGGAAAGGAAGGCTGCCCTTCATGCTCCTCCAAAGGGATGAGAAGGGACAAGAACAGGTGAAGGGTAAGAGAAGCCAGCGTGTGGGATTGAGCACTGAAGAATGAGGGAAATGAAGTCTATAGGGAAGACATACAAAGCAGGTATGGGTGAAAGGGAGAGCTGGCATGGCATGTTTACAGTATTGGACTGGGAATATTAGGTTCCAGTCCTCGCTTAGCCCTGAAGGTCACTGGTGACTATGAGGCAGTCACTCAATCTCAGTCTAATCTACTCACAAGGATGTTGCTGTTCTTCTGAGGATAACAAATAAACTAGAAGAGAATTGTGTAGGTTACCTTGAGTTCTCACAAAAGGAATAAAGGGTGGGATATAAATTGATAGTAATGTACAAGAAATGTATTATCAGTGAAACAGGAAATGCATGAGGGACAGAAAATAGAACTCCAGGGCAGTTTAGATGCTAAAAGGAGGACAGGTAGATATAAGCCAATATGGATGGATTCCAGAATGTGCCATCTCTGGGAATGAGAATGAATGTCTGGTGCACTGAAAAAGAGAGATGCTTCCATGCCTTATTATTAAGGTGTGGGAAGAATATTCATAAAAAACAAGTGAATACTGGTGTGCAAGACGGAGGGTAAAGTATGTCCACACACAGGCTATCTGAGGGCATAAATGCATGGAGAAGTAAAGTCTTATTTGATACGTCTGTGGTGCCTCCATGAAGTCACACCTCAGTAGATCTTCCATGAAGAACGAACGGCTAGGATAAGAGGGGATGTGGGTAAGGATGCTTCAATGTAGACAATAATCACAGCAGGGAAAGATTATTTCTATGGGAAGGTGTGTGATCTGAACCTGGTGCCCGAGCTCCATAATGGCCTGGATGAAGACCAATAAACTGAGACTCAATCCAGACAAGACAGAAGTACTGTTGGTTGGGGGTCACTTGGATGGGTTGAATGCCTCTGCCCTGTCCTGGCTGGGGTCCTGCTCCCACTAAAGCACAAGGTCTGCAATTTGGGGGTGATCCTGGATCCAAAACTCCCACCTGAGCCCATGTGGTGGCCAGCAGCACCTTCCTCCAACTGCAGCTAATATACCCATTATGGCCATCTTTCCACAGACAAAGCCTAGCCACAATCACACAAACCCTGGTAACATCCCAACTGGAGTATTGTAACGCTCTTTACATGGGGGTGCCTTTGAAGACACTCCAGCTGGTTCGAAATAGGGCCAAGGGAAAGTTGACAAGGACTAGTCTGCAAGTCCATATTAAACCAGTTCTATAGCAACTACAATGGCTACCAGTGGAAGTCTGGGCCTGATTTGAAATGCTTGTACTTACATATAAACAGCTTGGGTCCTGAGTACCTAAAGGATCATCTTCTCCTGTATGTCCCTATCCTTAAGATTGAGCCAGGAAGTCCTTCCTGGGGAGCCATCCCCTAGAGAGGTGAGAGGGATACTGCCTAGAAGGGTCTTCTCTGGAATAGGCTTGGCAGAGAGGTGTGCCTGGCACCGATGCTGTTAGCATTTCAGCAGCAGGCAGACTCACCTTTTCTCCAGTTATTTTAACAATGAATTTTAATGGCTATCCAGTTCCAAAATTGACCCATGTTGGTTTTATTCAATTTTATTTTAAATTGCTTCATTTAATTGTAATTTTGTAATTGTAATTTTACACATTTTTTAATGTTTGGACTATGTTTTGTTATTATGTTTTGAACATGTTGATTTAATGTGACTTATTTTAAAATTGTATGTAGTTTTATATTGTGAGCTGTGCAAAGAGCCCAGATATGGGCTACTGTAGTGGCATATGAACCATTAAATAAATAATAAAGATCCATTTATTAAAAAGCTGTTCTGGCTGAGGAGCATGGGGAAAAAGGATAAGGGGGACAGGAAAAGCCCGAGGAACTGTACAGACCAATCAGGAAGGGGCAAGGAGCAAAATATCTTGAGAATAAACACCAACGGAATATGGGCCAACAGTAGAACTAAGCAAGGTGACGTGTTAAATAGCTGGGACGTAATAACCACTTGATCATCTATCTGTTAGACCAAGGTAAAGACGCACAACCCACAGTAACCACACGGTGTTGCTTTTCATGAGGTGTGAATGTGCTCACTGTGCCTGCATGAATGACAAAAAGTAATTTGCCTTGCAAAGGCTACCATAACCAAAAAAACCCATACAGTGGTACCTCAGTTCACAAACTTAATCCACTCCACGATTCTGGTTGCAACCAGAATTGGTCGTGAACCAAGTCACATTTCCCCATAAAGTTCAATGTAAATAAGGTTAATCCATTCTGTAAATATTTTTTTAATCACAAGATTTGAAAGAAAGTAACAAAGAACAACAAAGTAACAAAGTACAGTATGTTAAGAGAACACTAACCTAGATGGGGGTAGGTTGTTTTGAAGGAGAGTCCCCCTCCATAAGGACACTGGGGAGATCTCTTTCAGGGGTTTCCTCTCTTCTGTCTCTTAGCTGCAGGGTCAATTTTGGCAAAAAATCTGTCTGAAGCCACTTGTTTTTTCCTGCGCTGCATGACCCTCCAGAAATGAGAGACCACGTTATCGTTCATCAGATTCAACACTGTGTTTGTTACAGTTATGTTGGGGTGGTGCTTCTCAAAGAAATCCTGGCACTCATTCCATTTTTTCATAATGGATTGTATCACATCACTGCTAACCTCCCTGCCTTCCTCTTCCTCAGTGGAATGCTCCTCAGCAAGTGCCTTCTGCTGCTCACTCTGGAGTTCAGCAAGTTCTTCTGCCGTCAGCTCCTCCTTATGGTCCTTAATAAGCTCCTCTATGTCTGCACCATTGACGTCCAGACCCATACTCTTGCCCAGGGACACAATCTCCTCCACTATCTGTGCGTCAGACCCTTCAAAGTTGAACTCAGTGACACATTCAGTGACACATTCTGGCCACAGTTTCCTCCAGGCTGAGTTTAAGGTCCAGTACGTGACATCTTCCCAGGCTTTGTCAATGAAGTTGATGCAGTGGAGGACATTGAAATGTTCCTTCCAGAACTCTTCCAGAGTCAAGGACGTCTCTTCAGTGACATTAAAACACCTGCTGAAGAGCGCCTTTGTGTACAGCTTCTTGAAGTTGCAGGTCACTTGCTGGTCCATGGGCTTCAGAAGAGGGGTCATGTGGGAGGGGAGGAACTTGACCTTTATGAAGTCATACTCAGTGTCCATATCATCCACCAAGGCTGGAGGGTGTGCCGGGACATTGTCCATCAGAAGGAGGCACCTTTCAGGCAGTTGGTTGTCAGAAAGATATTTCTTAACGGTGGGTGCGAACACCTCATACAGCCATTCCATGAACAACTGCCTTGTGACCCAAGCCCTCGCATTGGCCCTCCACATGACAGGCAGTCTGGCCTTGTTCACATTCTGTTCCTTGAATGCACGAGGGGTCTGGGAATGGTACACCAGTAGTGGCTTAATCTTCAGATCGGCGCTTGCGTTCGCACAAAGCAAAAGGGTCAATCTGTCCTTCATGGGCTTGTGCCCCGGCAGTGCCATTTCCTCCTGTGTGATGTAGGTTCTGTTCGGCATCTTTTTCCAGAAGAGCCCTGTTTCATCGCAGTTGAACACTTGTTGAGCGACAAATCCTTCTGCTTTCAGGAATTCCGCAAATTCTTTCTTGAAGGCTTCTGCAGCGGCCTTGTCAGAACTGGAAGCCTCACCATGTCTTACCGCACTGTGGAGGCCACTTCTCTTTCGGAAATTATCAAACCACCCTCTACTGGCTTTAAATTCAACCCTTGCTGCACTCGTAGAGGGATCTTTTTGCAGTAAATCACTGTGCAATTTCCTGGCTTTTTCACAGATCATAGCTTCAGTAACACTATCACCTGCCAGCTGTTTCTCATTCAACCACACTAACAAAAGTTTCTCCACCTCTTCCAGCACTTGAGTCCTCTGCTTGCTAAACAGCGTTACTCCTTTTGCCACATCAGCTCCTTTGATGGCATCTTTACTCTTTAAAATAGTTGAGATTGTCGACTTCGCCATCTTGTACTCAAAGGCCAGATCAGTCACACGGATACCACGCTCATGCTTTTCTACTATTTCCTTCTTCAATTCAATGGTTATTTTCCTCGAAACCTTTTTAATATTCTTGCTCTGCACTTTCTTTGGAGCCATTATTCAGCAAGCTTCACAGCAAGTGACGGCAGGTCTGTCTGCAAGTGCAAGCAGGGAAGATTTCCGCGATTGTGGTCGTCACCTGATGCGGAGTTCGTGAACTGAGGCAAATTTTTTCCGAATTTCCTGTTCACAACCCGATTTGGTCATGAATTGAAGCATTCGTGAGCTGAGGTACCACTGTATATTGCAAGAACATAAAAGATCAAATAGGAAACAATTAAGAATTTCCTACATTTTTCATTGACAAGGAATATCACAGATGCTGAAAGGAGAGGTGATTTTCAACATAATCTTTAGAATATGGAGGATCAAAGTTTACAGGAGCTTCTTGTTTCTGATATGCTCATGAGGGGAGGGAAGAGGAGAGAGAATATGACCTCAAGTCCTAAACAACTAGCTACTTTGCAATGCATCATATATTTAATATGATTAATCAGACACCTGACCAAAATCTAAATGTCTTCTGTATTATTATAAAACAGACAGGCAGTTTCAGAGAACATGTTATGAGAGTTCTATTTTTCTGTCTTGGCCCAAAAGCACTCCTTGTTTTCTTTCCAAGACGATTCCTCTTCATAGACCTCCTGCAAGCAAGAAGCACTGTGGATGAGAACTATGCAAGTTATACTGAAGAACAGTTTATTCAGTGTGAACAACCAAGAGGAAACTATTTTGTCCAGTATACAGAATGCAGCAAATTTACTCATTTATTAAATTTATATCCCACCTTTTCTTCTTTAAAGACCTTAAAGCAGCTTACATCATTCTCCTCCCGCTCTTCTCAATTTTATCTCCACCACAACCCTGTGATGTAGGTCGGGATGAGAATCTGTGGCTGGCCCAAAGTCACCCAGTTGGCCCCATGGCTAAGCGGGGACTAGAACCCAGATGGTCTGAGTCCCAGACCCCTCCTCTTAACCACAGCACCATGCTGGCTCTCACACATTTTTCACCACACACTGTCAATTCTGGTATTCCAATAAAGCATAAAACATCCAAGGCAAACTTCAGGGAAGCAATTTTAAACAAGTAATTTGCACGCAAGGTCAGGGGATAACAACGGGTTGTATATATCCAAGGCTCTCAATTGAAAGTAAAAATTCTAAATAGCCCTGTGTCCTCTGGGAAATAAACCTGAGGACTAGTAGAATGTGAGAGTTCCCCTGGACACCACGAAGAAGCTCCACTCAATCACAGCTTTGACCACAGAAGGATCTGTTTCACAACTTTACGTTAAGCAATTGCCTGAATCAAATTAATGAGGTATGTCTTTGTAGTACACTTTAAAAAATGCTGCAGTGAAATTCACTAGGCACCTATGTACATGTATAGAACAGCCTAGCAAATTTGCCTTTGTTACTATTCTTTAAAATATTTCTTCACAGAATCACATGCTGGTGTCAACAGTTCATTACAATAATTAAAACAGAAATATCTATTGGGTTCAGTATTAAAACCAGCAAATGTCCCAGTGAACAAGGTGAGTGCCAAAGCATGGTCAAAGATGGTACATTTTGCCACGTCAAGGGGAGAGATCTCAAGAGTGCAGGTGGGGGGGGGGGGGGGGGGGGTGGACCAAAATCAGACTTTTCCCTGCTTACTGTCAGACATACATGTATGGACAAGAGCGTCAAAAAAAGGTCCCTTGTCTCTGGAAAGCATGCAAGGCAGAATTGTGCATTATTGTGCTTCCTTCCTTCCTTTCTTCCTTGCCTGGAGTCACACATACCTTTTTCCATATAGGGACAGTTGCTTTCAAAGTATTGATGCAATACTGCACTGCCTCAAGAGATTCTGCTCTGTGAGGCGAAGAGATTGCGACCATCACGCTTGCTTCGCTAACCGGAACTGAACTACAGAAGAAGCGAAAAGTAGCATCAGCTCTTGCTTTTATCCACATTAGATTGATCTTTAGAGGGCTAAATAAAGGTCTTTCTCCTAAGAGGAAGACACAAGGCATGCAAAAACAAGCCATGCTCAAGGAATCTTAGAACAGACAGAAGCTGTATGTCCCTCTTGGAAAAGTACAATTCCACAGCAAAACAGATTAAGAACAACTGGAGATGGAGAACTTGCAACAACAGGGTATGTCAGTAATGGACAGAGGTGGACAAATGGGAGATATCAGCAAAAGCCTAGGCGGCCTGGGACAGCTCTGCCTTCAAGCAACATAGCAAGGAAGACTGCACTTCCCACACCTCCACTGAACTAAACTGTTGTCGTACCCTAGCCTAAAAGGTTCCAGCAGACTGCAATGTATATAACCAAGAATGTCATCTTATTTCGTTCAGAGATCGTGAACCTATGTACCTGCAGATGTTGCTGGAACACAAGCTTGTGTTCCAAGCAGCCAGTGAGTGGTCATTTGCAGGCCTAACTCAGACTTCAGTCTTCCTCCAAACTGAGGGCCTGTTTCTCTTTGCCTTCCCACATTTTTGTCTCCTCCCTCTCTTAGCACCTGCAACTGTGTGTCCCATCCATTCCTCATCTTTCATAGGAGAGCATCCTTTACAGGCAAAAGGTCCCAGACTCCATCCCAGGATACCCTGTTGCATCAGAGGTACACGGATCACAGTCAAAAGGTGGCCTACAGTTGTGGGTTGTGCCCCTTCCTTTTCCCCACAGTAGAGAGAAAGGGCCACTTACACCGGTGACAAAATAATCGGCACTAGATGGACATAACAGGATTCAAAGGCACATGAACATTAAATACTCTGCTGTTTAGATAAGTTTAATAAGATAGCAGGTGATGGGCAAACATTTCTGCTAATTACAGCAGAAAACAATCCGACATGAGGCAGTTCCTCATCCCAAAGGCAGGCCCACTTCCTTGAAAAGAAAAGCCAAGTAAACCAAGCACATGCCACAGGAAGCGCATATGTCTTTTGTCCATACGTACCCCAGTCTGTGATATATTGCTATATGTTTTACTGAGGGCCATTTGGATCTAATGTCTGTGCATATTTTCTTTAATTCCGCTTCTGCCATGGGTGCATATGCTTCATATTCTAATTTAATGACTTTTTTCCCCTCAGAATGATTCCTGGTAGTGCCTGAAACAAAAGGACACATTCCATCAGACCCACCACCCAGTGTGATCCCTCGGAGCTTCTCCAAAGTGGAATTCAGCTTGAAAAAAGATCTGCACTCCCTCTATATGCAAACTGGCAGACACTTGAGCACTGAAACTTGCACTGCAAACTGTGTGGAATGCAAACCGCGTGTCCATGAGAATTACCCAGCGTCTTATGCCTGTGACTACAGTGAAATTGTAGAGCTTCATTTAAAAGAGAGACGTTTGTGACAAGGAAAGATCTTCATTCATTTTGATTCAGAACCTTTAACCTTAAAAGCAGATTAATTCATTATAAAGCCAAAGTGGTTTCATTGCAGTAGATTCAGATTGCACAGAATAATGATCGCACAGGTTTTATACAGGAATAAAAGGGATGCAGAATAAGAAATGTGCTTGCAACACTGACATCCATAAGACCAAATTTTGATTTTCTTTGTGGCAAAAGACAAGCACATTCAAGTCATTAAAATGAAGTATAATTTTTTTTTGTATTGTTAGTGATGTTATACTGAAATTTAGCATGTATTCAGTAAGTTGAGTATTATTTAGTTACTAAGTTATAAATAGGTTCATTAATACATTTATAAATAGTTTATCATTGCAACATTAGTTGTAACATTTTGTTCAAATAAAATGTATTAAATGATACATATTTATTAATGGTTTCCGCACTGATTTTCCACACAGAGAACAGTTCTTCAAATAAGTTGAAAAACACTGGATTAGTGGATAGTGTTGCACTTGGGCTTGGGAGAGCCAGGTTCTAGTTCCACAGGGTCAAGAAGGTCACTTTGGGCCAGCCAATGACTGTCAACCACAGCACTGTTAAGATAACATGGAGAAATAATGTACATATTGAAGTGCACACACATATGTATATATTAGGAAAATGTACACGTGAAAATGCATTATTTTAGAATAAAGTATTTGGGAAAATATGTGCCTACTAAAACCAAGAATGCACTAAATTGTGTATTTTATAAGAAATATTATGAAACTGCATGCAAATTTTGCTACAGCAATTTGGGGGATAGAATATTATTATATTTATTTATATCCCACTTACTTCCAGAGATTAGGACTCATAATCAGAATACGTAATTCTGACTGTAAGCCGTCCCGAGATGCCGAGGCATGTGGGGACGGCATAGAAAAGTTTTAAATAAATAAAAATAATCAGGTGCAGCAACAAGCAAAAACAAACTTATGGTTAAGGAAAAAGATAAACTGTGTGAATCTGAAATTGACAGATGGGCCATCCACAAGGCTATCATGAGTATGCTAACCACATGCGCTGAAACCCACAATGTGCTTCAACTACACAGAAAAGATGCTATAGAATACAAGATTTTTGCAGAGGAAGAGAGGCTGTGAAGACACATCTGTAGATGCGGTGAAATTGGGATATGTGGTAAGGCACAGCACCGTTGGCTACCATAACTGTGACACAAGTGTGGGAAGTACTCAGCCACATGCTAGATAGAATTGGCTAGTGGCACACAGCATCATGGGTTTCTGCAGCTGTGCTCAATGCTTAAGCCTTCTGTATGTGCACATATACATGCATTTCTCTCATTCATCCTAAGAGCATAAGAAAAGCAGCGCTATATCGACCAACAGGCCATCTAGTCCAGCACTCGATTCATGTGGTGGCAAACCAGCTGCATGGATAGAAGAGCTTCACCTGCCCAAGCTCTTCATCAACTGGCGCATGCAGATATGCTGCCTCCGATAATGGAGCAGCAAGGCAAAGACACCTGGCAATGCGCATCACCTGGCAATGCCACACCATGCATGATCCCAGAATCCAGTCTACCTCTGGTTTTCCAGAAACTACTCTGAACCTCGAGGTTTACAATTCTGCTGAGGACACAACTGAAGTTCATGTTTCTCTTCTGCTCTGGGTTTGTCCCACTCCAACCATGTGCCTCCTTCTGTCTACCCCATGGATGCACACTTGGCCCGCTTCCTCTGTATATAGACTGGGATTGTCAAAAACAACTTACTGTTCATCCAGCCTACCTACAAACAAAGACACAGCCCCACAGCAGGGAGAGATCACCCGTGATGAAATGTCATCTGCCGAAAGCTTCTCATCGTTCAGCTGAAAAAAGTCCTTGGGCTCTTCCTCACCTTCATTCATGATTTTTCTAGAATTAAGTTGTGACAAAATTACTATTCCAGTTAATAGGATCATTTGCAAGATGCTACCTGTACTGCAAGGGCAGCTGTCTCCAAGCCAGTGTCTTCCTGATGTGTTAGACTACATTCCTCATCCAAGAGCCACCCTGGCTGGGAATAGTAGACGCTGTAGCCCTACACATCTGGAGGGTACCAGTACAAGAAAAAAATGTGCCCTGGGGATGAGATTTTCCAATGTAACATCCATGATGACAATCAACATGCTCATTCCATGAATATGGCCACCCCATCAAGAAAGCCTTCAGACTATGGGGTGGCATAAAAATGTAATAAGTAACTAAATAAAGTAGGTTACACATCTGCTTACACACCACACTTTAGGCTTTTTGACTGCCTTTAGAAACAGCATTTGTTGTACAGAAATACAACTATTCTTGGGCACTATGGATTCTGCAATTGAATGCAGAGATCTTTATCTCTAAATTCAGTCCATACTACGTATTTCAGTTTCTAGCCCTTCTATTCCATTAATTGTAGGCAGTATACTACAGCTTCCAACAAAAGGAGCCATTTAAAAAGGCAGCTTCTAAGCATGCCAAACAACCCTCAGGTAATATGCTTAAACCTGGCAAAATAAAATTGAGATGGGCTGCAACTTGTTAAAATCATCCAGTAGGGTTTAAACAACCCCCTCATTTATGGAAAACACGAGAGGAAACTGCAGCAAGTGTGCCCGTGCTGGGCAGGAGGACCCCTGCAGATTGCCCGAGGAGTTCTCCCCTCCTGAAAAAGTCCGAGACAAATACTATCTGCACAAACGCCAGGCCCCTTCACTAAATGTCCGGCCTGAAGGAGACACAGCCAGTGGCTAGACCATGAATGGAGCTACCTGACACAAGCCTCTTACACATGTGTTCAATATGTGAGAGGGATTTGTGTAGGCCTCACATCTGCCCCCAGAACAGGAGTGCCTAACTTCAAACATCCGAGTCACTCGGCTTGCCCGGATGACCATGCGCTCCCTCATGGATCCCACCACCTTCTCCCACTGATCATTTCATGATTTCCAGCACATGTGTAGTTTTCCCCACACTGAAAAGGTTGGCATACCTCTCCTAAGGGCTAGTTACTGACAGGGTGAGCGTTAAGGTAAAATACACTGGTGTTTTCCATTAACCCCATTTGCCTTTGGCCCCTGCTCACAGCTGGAAGGCCACCACAGAGAATGCCTCCCAAACTGAACTGGGTCATCACGTTGAAAAGGGTTCAATGCCTCTCCTCAGACATTGGGTGGAAAGCATGGAAAAAGCTTCAATTGATAAGGCCTGGCCAAGCTTCCTATAACCACAGCTCCCCAATTAAAGGGAATTTCTCAGAAAATAGTGGTATCTTCTTTGTTAGTAGAGCTACTTATCCACTGCAGCTTTTACTTTGAGCTTTAAGCAGTCCATCAAGACCATCAGTGACTTTCAAGTGGCCTGGTGTGTGGTGGAGATAGGGGCAAAGGAAGGGTTGAGAGCAACCAATTTCTTATTGCTGGCAATCTTGTAAACTACCCAGAACGCTTTGGTTACCAGGCAGTATATAAACTTGATAAAAAATAAGTCATCATTTTTCTCCTCCTTTTCAGACCATTAGTCTCTCAAACTGGCTGGCAACAATTCAAAAAAGGCTGGCGAGGGTGGGGGGGGCGGACCTGATATCAGGCTTACAAACTAAAGTGACAATAAACAGACAGGAAGAGGAATGAAGGAAAAAAGGAACAGGTGAGAGATCACTTTTTCAAGGCCAAAGCAGAAGTGGGTGCTTAAATAAACACGGGCCAGGTAGATTTTCCCTGGCTGGTCTTTTGTTTCAATCCCACGTGGTCACTCCTGTTCCTTTGACCAACAACGTGTTCTTTCCCCTTCCTCCAGCAAGCCCCAGGGCAAGAGTCAGTGGGAGCTGAGTTCTTTCTGGCAGGGAGAAGAGGAAAACTCCCTCCAGCCGCTCTGTCTTTGGCCAACAGATGAGCTGGGTTGCTCGTCCCCTAGTTTAGCTATCATTCCTGAGAAACTGGGGTTCAGGACCCCAAAGGCCCCCATTTCTTGGCTGATGGCAGAAACCACAGTATGATTCCCTTCTGCTCTCCTGTCCCAGGACAATGGTCAGTTCTAACTTATTTTTAACTATTGCCCCAGGACACATTTCCTGTATTTGAGCAGGCAAACAGCTTTGCAGTTGTTCCAACACCAAGTACACAGTTTGCCATTATTTTATTTATTTATTTATTAAAACATTTCTATGCCGCCCCATTCGCCGAAGCCTCGGGGTGGCTCACAACATAAAATTAAAATACAAGAAATAACAATATAAAATAAGTCGCCCTGGCCAGATAAAATAAGCAAATAATATTAACAATTAAAATGACGTTTGAATAAAAAGGTCTTCGCCTGGCGCCGAAAAACAAATAACGACGGCGCCAGGTGGACCTCTCTGGGGAGTGCATTCCATAGATTGGGCGCCACCAGAGAAAGCCCTCCTCCGAGTACCTACCCTCCTAATTTCTTTCACGGAGGGTTCCCGGAGAAGGGCCTCTCCCACAGATCTCAAGGGGCGGGCGGGCGTATATGGATGTAAGCGCTCCTCTGGCTTTCAGTGCTATTCAGTATCGATTCCTTTGGACCAAGGCATCACATACCTGGGGATGTCTTCCCAGAGTTAACCTCCGCTAATAGGTGGGATAACAGCCACTTCATCCCCCGAGTGGAGGACCAGCGGCTGATCCCCCAGAACTACGTATTCCTGCCGCACAGCAAAGACTACTTGATCCTGGATAGCAGCAAGTCTGAAAGAACAACATCAGGTTAAAGATTAATGTTTTGTTTGCTAACACTATTTCACAAGCACACCCAGGGCCCACCTCCTGCAAAAGCTGGATGAAGCTGCATATGATAGCCCAAATTTTAAATCAGTTACTGAAACCTGTCAATAAGTTTTCAAAGTGCCTACAGGCACTTTGAAAACTTGAGAAAGCAAGCAGGCTGGTAGCAAAAGAGGGTGGGGTCTCTCTCCTCTGCCTGCCCACATAGTTTCTGAACCTGCTGCAGCAGGAAAGGAAGAGAGACGGGTAGGAATGGATCCCCGAGCAGAAGACTTAAAAAAATAGGGAGCAATCCTATGGTGCCAGGCAACACCTGAGGAGCCACAAGATAGTTCAGATTCCCTGAGCTGAGTATGGAGACAGTGATCCAACCTCGGGGGGCGGGGGGAACTGGAGTTCCAGTCCTGCTTCCCCACCACAGCTAGCATGGAAAGGACCATGCATGGCTGCCCTCCAAAGTCAGGAACTCAGCCTCGGAGAGGGAGAAAAGGTGATGTTCAATGGGCAGGGAGGGGAAAAGACTGCAGGGGCAGGTCAACATCTATCCTGAGCCTCTGCCAGCCTCCTTCCCATCCCCTTTGAAATGCCTTTAGTGGGTGGGCAAAAAACCCTTCAAGGCAGAAGGCCAGGGAGGCAAAGGCTGCCTCTGCCGCTCCTCGCATTCTGCCCTGCATGATCATATGCCTCTAAGTTTGGGGATTTAGGAATATTGAGGATGCCCACCATAGGACATCTATCTTACAGGCTATACTACAGACTATTAACTTTGCAGGCTTACTTATAACACTGATCCCATTAGTTTCTTGGTCATGCTAGAATCTGGCAAGACAGTGTGACGTTAGGGCTCCAATCCTATGCATATGTGACCAGGAGTAAACCCAACCCCTTTGAACTCAGCAGCATTGCACTTTAAGAGTGTTGGGGTAGAAAAGCTGTTTGTTAAATAGGCAAAAGTCACAGTACCTCGAATGTCTCTTCACAATTTCTTCCCACAGCTGCAGAGATGTTATCTGTTGGGGCACAGATATGGTCTCTGTGCGGACGCCAGCTAATTCGGCACTTCTTGCAAAGTACAACACTACCACCTGTTTGTAAAGAGCTCATCAGACTGGTAATAAAACTTCAATCTCTACAGTAAATGCATATGCAAGTCATTCTTGAGTTCTTCAGAAGAAGGGGAGAGAACAACAGTAATATATCAGTCCTTTTCTTAAAAGCCACTTCATATGGTTTTCTTAGTAGGCATTGTACCTGATGATGTTGGTAACCAAGCAATGTATTTGATTCTGCATGTAACTACTGTGGCGAGGATTGCATTTGCCCAACACTGGAAGAGTGAAGAGCCACCTACCGACGAACTGATTTTAAATTGACTTTGTCTCTGAAGGAGAAAGAAGATATAGATTTCTATCAAGCTTGGAATTTCTTTTATTATTGGCTAGAGAAATGGAACTAGATTTAAATATGTTTATGGATTACCATAAAAAGAAAAAAATATCAGGGCCTGACCCAGTAGGTCTGATTATTTTAATGACTGATTTTTTTGTTGTTGTTGTTTCCTCTGTTAGGTTTGTTAATTAGTATAAAACAATAATAAATCTTTTTTTTTAAAAAAAAAGTCACTTCATTTGACTCTCAGTAACTCAGAGATCTATATGACAGGTCCTGTGTTAGTACTCACCTTATTACAAAGGAGCAACTGAGGCTGAGTCAGTAGCTTGCTTAAAGCCAAAACATCAAATGACCTAAGTCAAACTGTATGGATGTTTACTCATAAGTTCCACTGGATTCAATAGGACTTCTCCTCGAAGTGTGCATAAGATAAGTCAGGATGACCCCTTCCTCATTCAAAATTGCACTGAATCATACAAAGGTTTCTACCTTCCCCCTTTATTAAAATATGTTCAATGAGAGACCCCCAAATGTCATTAAAATTATTCTTGTTGGCAGCCCTTTTTTCACCTTAATACTACATGTTAACTTGTCATTAATAGCTATTGCCTGTTGACACTTGAGTGAGCACACAAATATGCAATCTACCCTATGCACTATGAAAACAGATTCATTTGAGTAGAGGGCAGACAAGACGAAGGAAACTGAAGACCAAGCAGAGTGAAAACAGTCTAGCAGTGAACTTAGAAGGCCTCACTTTGTGTCTCTGTTCATCAGGGACCAATGGAACAATCCTGGGTCTCCACTCCTTGTCTGAAAAGTGGGGAAATGATCCACATTCATTCTGCACTTATTAATGGGTCAGAGGAATGAATACAGTTAGAGAATCTGATGGTTCAGAATGAAGGATCAGATACTATCTAGAATTGTCAATTCCATATTGAAATTGGGCAAATGTATACAACAGGTGCATTTGTCAACAAGATGCACTGCATGATGGTATTTGTAATGTTCAGTGTGGAAGCACTTAACCACTGGGTAAAGGTAAAGGTTTCCCCTTGACATTAAGTCCAGTCATGCCTGACTCTAGGGGGCGGTGCTCATCTCCGTTTCCTGGCCAAGGAAGCCAGCGTTTGTCCGCAGACAGTCTCCGTGGTCATGTGGCCAGCATGACTAAACACGGAAGTGCACGGAACGCTGTTACCTGCCCACCGAAGTGGTACCTTTTTATCTACTTGCATTTGCATGCTTTCGAACTGCAAGGTTGGCAGGAGCTGGGATGGAGCAACGGGAACTCACCCCGTTGTACAGATTTGAACCGGCAACCACTGGGGCTCCTACTTAAAACACTGAATGCACCCTGCCCTAGGGCAGACTGCAATTTAATAGGTTGTATGTTCAATATAACCACCAAACAAAAATAATAACCTAAGTCCATAAATCTAGCCCAGGAATTACACTGACTACAAGAGGTCCATTCCCTTGCAATTCTCAATACGACAGGATCTCCCTCTCTCCTGTCTTGCATTGTCTGCTGGCTGCACTAAGCCTTAGTTTGCCATGGTAAGAACAAGATGGAAGCAAGCCTTGAACTTAAGCATTTTCGCCATAGAAAGACTGGACATGTTTGTTTCCATTTCAGATCAACCACAGTGAGTTCAGATGGCACAGTAAAACTGAAATTAATATACAACAGATGCAAAAGCTTCCAAACTCCTCCCAGGAGGCACCTTGCAGAAAAGAGGAAAGGAAGAGCATGCAATTTGCTCTCATTACACTAAACCACAGGTGTAAAACCTTGTGGCCCACAGGTAGCTACTCTCTGCAAGCTGCTACCACAAGAACTCTCCTGCTGCTTCCAAAGCTGGGCTGCTTCACTCAGTTTCACTGCTGTTCTTCCATTAGTCATAGTGCCAAAGGACCAAGCCCCAGAAATCAATGAAGAGTTGGAGAAGTTTTTCTCTCTCCAACTCCCAGTGACCCCTCCTCTGAGAATGCAGTTTTGTCGCCATCCTTAGTTTTTGCTTCTCCCAACCCATTTGTGGCTCCGGATCTGTGTATGCTGCCACTAACAGTTTTAGTGATCAGAAGATTTTATCACCTGGTTCATGCCATCAAAATACCCCATAATGCAAACAAGGCCCATCCAAATATCATCAGATAAAACATGACACTGATTCCTACTTGGAAGCAAGTTCCACTAACATCAGTTTGTTGAACCAGGTTTCTCAACAATAGGTATAAACTTTATACTACAAAGTGTCTATTGCAAAGTTGCAAAAAGCGGCAAGAAACCAACTGCACAACTGCTGAGAGAGAGAAAAGTTCTATAGTGCACACCCTTCCTGGCCAGACACAAAATAAGACACTTATTCTCTAAGTATGTACAAGAAATACCTTTATGAAAACATGTTCATGTTTCACTGTTGGCATGAGAGCAGCATATGGGTCATTTGCATTAAATAGTGCAATGGTGGGGGAAAAGTCTTTCGCAACATTGCAAGTTCACATTAAGGGAAGCTCAAGCACTATTGGCATGTGCTTTCCTGGTTCAGTTCTCCACAGGACAGACCCAAGGCAGGGTGTATGTAGGGCTACAGCCCCACAACCTATAGAATGGGGTCATGTGAAATAATAAATGAACTGAAAAACTAAAGTAGGCCCGTGCCTCTGAACACGTGGTCGGGTTTTATCGTTTCTGGGCAAACTGCAACCCTGGCACTTTCAGAAATTCACGCTTACTACGGAATGCATGCGAAGGACGCGCGTAGAAAAGGAAGGCCCAGCGGACCGAAGGAAAGCCTGTTTCACCGAGCAATCGAGGAGAACCAGGAGAAGGAAGCCGCGTACCTCGCAGTTCATGGACGCGCCGTCCTGGCTGGGCGGGCAGGCGAGCAAGCAGCTGCCGCGGACGCCCGAGACCAGCGGGGGAGCGCGGGCGCCTGCATTGGCTCCAGGCGTTACGGTTGCGGCGGCCTGGCCCCAGTGCGCCGCCTCCACGTGGCTCCACCTCTCGTGGGCTGGCTTTTCGCAGCGGAGCAGCCCCGGAAGCAAAGGGAAAGCCTTGGGTCGGGATTCGGTGTCGGAGAAGTCTCGCTGGTCATGCACGCTCCCGAAGGGGGTGGGATCCTGGAACCACTTACCTGGGAATAAACGGCACAAGCTCTTCTTCCACCGACGCGCGCGCGCGCGCACTTCTGAGTTGTCTACTATACAATCGCGCTGGGAAACTACAGTCCAAGACTCAAACTAATCGGATAGTCACGGTTGCGGCTGCTCCCCCCACTTTTTTTTTTTTTTTTTTGCCTTCACTCCGGAGAAATTGCGCTGGAGGAGGATCCCCATCATCACCACCCGTTTCCCCCACCCCGCAATTGCATCCCCACTCCGTGAAGCGTTTAAAAAGGAAAGAAATGTCCCCACGGGATCCAACTGAGATGTGTCTTCTTTTTTAAAGCCCCAAGGGCGAGAGGTCAGCCTGAGTGCACGCCATCGAACTCACTGGAGTTTGCTCCGGAGTAGAATCGCCTGTGATAGAGCTGCAGGTCCAGTTCTCGTGCATCAGAACAGTTCATAGGACTGGAAATCGGACTGGGTAATTAATGTAAAACTCTTTAGAGGGCTGACCTGATTAGGGCGTGGAAGATGGATGTAGTGGATGATGTTTTCACATACACCTGAGGCAGCAGGTTTTATAAACCCAGACGACACCGTATTTCTTGAGCATGAATGACAGTAATCAGCGGTGAAATGCTACACACACACAATATAGACACGTTTATATGTTTGCCTCCGTAGAAGTGGGTCCCATTAGGGTCATTGAGATCTAGTCCCAGGAAGGCCCACTGAGATCAATGAGGTTTACTCCCAGAAAGTATGTACAGGATTGAAACTAAGGGGCAATAGTATCCATGTTTAGTTGGAGATAAGTCCTACATGCTGGCTGGGACATGCTGGTAACTGTAGGACTGTTTGTTTTCTTACCTACCCTCAAGTTGACCTATGAATGAAAGCCCTCCAAAATGCCCTGTGTGACAGTTCCTTTCAGCTCTTCCAATATCAAGGCTATGGCTTCCTTTATGGATTCACTCCATCTCACATTTGGTCTTCCCTTTCATCTCCTGCCTTTCAGTTTTCTTCACTGCCTCATAGATTGTGATTGGGAATATAGTACCTTGGTCTCCTGTAAAACATCCTTGGTGATATTTCCTAGTTCCTTCATTGCTGCCCTTCCAAGTCTCAATCTTCTTCGAATTTCTTGACTGCTGTCTCCCTTTGAATTGAGGACTGAGCCAAGGCATGTGAAATCTTTCACAACTTCAGTTTCTTCATTATTAACAGTAAAATTCTGTAGTTCTTCTGTGGACATTATTTTTATTTTCTTAATATTCAGTGGCAGTCTGGCTTTTGTACTTTCTTCTTTCACTTTCATCAGGATTCCTTTCAAGTCATGCTGCTTTCTGCCAGCAGTATGGCATCATCTGCATGTCTTAAATTAGAAAAGTTTCTTCTGCCATCTTGCAGTCTAATCCAGTTTTCCTTATGAGATGTTCAGTGTACTGGTTAAAACACACCTTTGAACACCTTTGCCTATGGGAAACCATTCTGTTTCTCTGTATTCTGTCCTCAGTGTAACTTCTTTTCCATGATACAGGTTACTCATTAGGACAATCAAATACAGAAGCATCCCCATTTCTTTCAGGACCATCCGTAGCTTCTTGTGATCTGCACAGTCAAAGGCTTTGCTGAACTCTATAAAGCTTAGACTGATTTGTTTTCTGGAAGTCTTTGGGGTGGTCCAGTAGCCAATATATATTTGCAATATCATGTGACTCTTCCTCTATAGAATCCAGCTTGAACATAGGACTCCCCACCACCCACCCCAGCAAAAAATGTATTTGATTGCCCCCTAAGTATATTCCATCTACTGAGGCTCTGCACTTGTATGCAAGTTTTGATAGACAAAAGGCTTACAACTCCCAGCATGCCCCAGCCAGTATTGTTCATTAAATCTCTTCAGCATTTTAACTAATGTCATGGCCTCCTCCCAACAAATCTTGGCAATTCCAGTTATGTTCCTAACAGAACCATTCCCTGCTTTTTCAGAGGGGATTAAATTCCACCTGTTTGAGTCAATTGTATTGATATGCCCATACATCATCTGACTCCTAAAGATCACCTGACTGCTGAGACAGATTCTCTGGGTATTTGCTGCCCACTTGTGTAACCTCCTGGAAAAACCTTCTGGCAGAACAGAGCCATCTGGTCCCCAGCTACATATGGTTATTCCATAGAGGAGGAATAGGATAATTGTTAGGCCTAAACTATTCACTTTCTCCTTGCTTTCTCTTAGCTCTTCTTTAATACCACACTCCAACCAGCAGAACCTTTCTCTCTCTTCTTTCTGATTCCTTCAGTTATCCACTCTTATTCCATAACTGTAATTTCCCAATTGCTTTTTTTCATCTACGTAGAACCCCAGTACAGAAGAACTATACAAGAAAGAGCTTAAAGTCCCTGATAACCACGATGGGGTGGTCACTGACCTCGAGCCAGACATCCTGGAGTGTGAAGTCAAATGGGCCTTAGGAAGTCTGAGCAACAACAAAGCTAGTGGAGGTGACAGCATTTCAGCTGAGCTATTCAAAATCTTAAAAGACAATGCAGTAAAAGTGCTATACTCAATATGCCAGCAAATTTGGAAAACTCAGCAGTGGCCATAGGATTGGAAAAGGTCAGTTTACATTCCAATCCCAAAGAAGGGCAATGCCAAAGAATGTTCAACCTACCAACCAATCACAACAAACCATGACAAGTTCTTAAAGAGATGGGAGTACCAGACCATCTTATTTGTCCCTTGAGAAACCTCTGTGTGGGTCAAGAAGAAACAGTGAGAACTGGACATGGAACTACTGATTGGTTCAAAATTGAGAAAGGAGTACAGCAAGGCTGTATATTGTCACCCTGCCTATTTAACTTATATGTAGAGCACATCATATGAAAGGCCAGACTAGATGAATCACAAGTAGGAATTAAGATTGCTGAACAAAATATCAACCTCAGATATGCAGACAATACTACTTTAATGGCAAAAAGTGAAGAGGAACTAAAGAACCTCTTGATGAGAGTGAAAGAGGAGAGTGCAAAAGTTGGCTTGAAACTCAACATTAAGAAAACTTAAGATCATGGCATCCGGTCCTCTCACTTCCTGGCAAATAGATGGGGGGAAAATGGAGGAAGTGACAGATTTTATTTTCTTGGGCTCCAAGATCACTGCAGACAGTGACTGTAGCCAAGAAACTAAAAGATGGTTATTCCTTGGGAGGAAAGCTAAGGCAAATCTAGACAGCATTCTGAAAAGCAAAGGCATCACCTGCCAGCAAAGGTTCATATAGTTAAAGATATGGTTTTCCCAGTTGCAATATATGGCTGTGAGAGTTGGACCATAAGGAAATCTGAGCGCCAGAGAACTGATGCCTTTAAATTGTGGTGTTGGAGAATACTCCTGAGAGTCCCTTGGACTGCAAAGAAATCAAAGGAAGTCAACCTTGACTGCTCTTTAGAAGACCAGATACTGAAGATGAAACTCAAATACTTTGGCCACCTAATGGGAAAGAAGGACTCACTGGAGAAGACCCTGATGTTGGGAATGATTGAAGGCAAAAGAAGAAGGGGACGGCAGAGATTGAGGTGGCTAGATGGAGTCACTGGGGCGGTGGGTGTGGGCTTGGGTGGACTCTGAAGGATGGTGGAGGACAGGAGAGCCCGAAGGAATGTTGCCCATGAGGTTGTGAAGGGTTGGACATGACTTTGTGGATGCAAAGGTCTTCAGGGTGCTGCTCCCACCCTGCAGAGTGGCCAGATCACTGATTTTGGCTGTCCAACTCATGCCACCAGGATATCATGCATCTTGGTACTGAAAATCTCCTCTTTTCCTTGCCCCAGGAATGCCCACTAAACACTGTCTCCCTTTTGCAACCAATATGACACAGCAAGAGCAGTTCTTTCCATGTCTGCTGTGTGCAGGCAGGGTAGCATGTTCAAAGCATAGAGTCCCAACTCAAATATTTGAGGTACTCTCTGGTCTCAGAGCTGGGACTCCAAAAGATCCTGTGACCCCTCTAAAAGCTGTGCAGGGACCATAGGGCCACCTTCACAGATCCATAGAGCCATGGGGGGGGGGGCATAAGTCTATTGGGTTCAACCCCTGCTCAGCACAGGACTCCAAGTGAAAGCTCTGTTGGCAAAATACAATTTTTATTACCTTTCATCTCATTTTTTTTCTTTAGTTATCCAGAAACTATATATTTTATTGTCTCTTTCATCACCATGAATGACAAAAATGAGAACAGGCAGAAGGTAAAGGTAGGTATTGAAAGTATGGGAGGTGGGGAGAAGAAGGCTATTTTATTGGCTAATGTGCTGTCTAGACTGTTAAAGTAGCTTGTGCCGCTGTCAGAATATAGTCCTGTCTATTCTTTTATATGCTTGGCCCTTGTCCTGGTTCTACCAGTTCCCATTGCTTTAACAATGTAGGGACTATAGAGCTTATTTATCTATTTTGACATTTATAGTAATATTGATTTCTTGCTCATGCTTCAGCTGCAGTGCTCATTTCATACACTTCCCTTTTTTACTTGTTAATACACAAGTCTGCAGTAAAGCAAGTGAAAAGACTGGCTATATAAGAAGAAAAGGGGTTATGCTGCCTTAATTATTAACACATGGCTCCGATTAATGGTACCTGACAATATTTGCTGGAAAAGGAAGAGGGCACTTCTTGCAAGTGCTGCCAAGCTCTCTTAATATCACTTTACCAATTGAGAACATCGTTTCACATGCACCAAACTTATATTGAAATGGCAGTTCTCTCTCCCTGTCCTTACCTTCCCACGTGGTGTGTGCTACCTTGTCCCCTGGGGACGTGTGTCCATTGGAACAGCCAGTAGGCCAAGTGACAGAGAGACTGTTTATTCGTTAACTGGTGTGTTCTGACTGCTTTCCATTGCTCCCAAGTACTTTCTGGTAACTTCTGTTATTTCAGCCTTGTGGTTACTGTGGATTCCTTCCCCACCAACCAGATACACCGGACTTCAACTCCCATTTGTCTTTTCCCATGGAAAGCACTCCTCGGGGGAAGACTGACCTACTCATGTTTTTGTCACCCAGTCAGGTCTGTTTGGATGGAAGTTGTAGGTAGTACAGAGCAACCAAGCAGGTAGTAACTATGTTTTGTGAAGTATATATTCATCAAGGAGACTTTGTCCTGATTTGGGTGCTACACTGTGGCTCATCAGGGGTTATTTAAGATTAAGCTTAGTTAACCATGAGAAGCCCTGGTGTCCACAATTGCCATGTTGCATATCTAATCTGCATTCAGGGGTTCTGATCTTACAGTATGTGAACACAGTGAGTGAGTGTTAGACCATGGATTATGCAAGCGTTAAGCAGACCATGAGTTATGCAAAGGTTGTTTAAGGTGAGAAAGCACCAAAAAAAAAAAAAAAAGTGTTTGGGGGATGAAAGGCAAGTTCAAAAGAATGGAGTGTGATCCCTGAGAAATCTCAGAAGGCCATTCTGGGGCTGGAAGGGCCAAATTTGGATGCTGGAACAGACATTTTCTACCCCTGGTGCTGCTAAGTAGGAAACAATTGACTGAGAAAAGTCCTCTATATGCACTGTAGAAAACTGGCTGCATTTTACTTTTACCATGAATGACTTAGGAGTTCTAAGCATTAATTGGAAGTTGTGAATTAAGTAAGCATTCCCCTTGAAAAAGAGACACTCCCAAAAAGTATGGGAAAAGATACATGTTGATAAAGCCATCTCCTGTGGGGTGGGGGGGGGCAGGGTCTGGTTTTGGCTTTTACAGCTTTTTCCAAAATCCCTTTTGTTGTGGTGGCTGCACGAGGCAACCTGTCAGATTTTGATCTACTCCACATGAAACCAAATATCTCAAAAAGAGTCAGGCCTAATAGAACTGAATGATTGCATCTGAAATGGATATATTAGAATTGGACATTTTCTAAAAATATATGTAACTACTTGGAAAGAATAAGAGGCAAGGAAGATTAACAGTACAAACACAATTACTCAGAAGTAAGTCTCAGTACACGCAATTAGATTTACTCTCATAGAAATATGTACATGAAATCTTATGCACACGTACTTGTCAGGAAGTTCAGTTGAAAAGAATACTACTTCTAGTTTAATACATAACATTTCTGTCTTAGGTTGCAGTCCTTTGAAAACTTACTTGGGAATAAATCCTATAGCTCCTCAGGTAAGAATGCAAGTATATAGAATTGTGTTGTAATTCTGTTAAACTAGAAAACAGTTTGAGAAAAGCAAGATTGGACTTCAGTGACACATAGCGCTCGCTCATTTGTGCTGTGTGTACATGTGTGTGTGTTTGTGTGAACATAATCAAGGGAAATCTGTCAGCATCAGGCTAGTTATGCTCTGTTAAACCAGTGTGTTCTCTGTCCAACTCCCTCAGGTTAGATTGACACTGGAGGCCCTAGAATTAGAACCGTACCATCTTGTGTTTTGATCTCCTTTACTGAGAATGTGGAGGGGTTAATTGTGTTGCGGTCAAGCGTGATCTCCCATTTGCTGAAGATATGGATGATTAACAGCTGTTACAAATTGAACTCTGCTCAAGACATCATGTGCTAGGTAAATAACATAGCCGCTTGTACCAACGAATAACCCTTTCCTTGTTTTCTTCCTCAGGCTGCACAATCTGGGATCTCTCCATCCATCATCTGCATCCATCACTTTCCTGAGAGTGATGGAAACCAGTCACTGGATGGCCGATCATGAATTAGAGTCACCCACTGACCAGGGCGAAACAGGATTCTTGTATCTTGAATGCAAGTTTTGTATGTAGTCTGCAGCTGAAGTTTTTTTGGGACTGCACAGGGATGACCATGAAAACATGCCAATGTTCATCTATTACGCTACTCTAATGAGAAAAGCAGGGGAGAGAGCAGCATGCATTTCATTAAATCCATTCTGTGTGTGTTTGTGGATTTTCAGGTGGTTTTTGTTCTGTCTTCTGCTCGTTGGCAGAATTCAATTTTTTCTACAAGAATTTCATCAGTTTTACAAGTGTGCAAGTTGGCAGAAGTTCACATAATCTGAGACATACTAATTAATGCACATTAGTGTAAATGCCTATTTGCAATCAACAAGATTGCACAAATGCATCCCCCTACAAACACAAATAAAAAACCAATCTGCAAATCTACACATTTGTTTAAAAAAAGCTGGTTGTTGAAAACCCCACAATTCAGATTCACAGAAACCTGAGCTCATTTGAATCCATCAAGGATTTCTTTGACATCCCTGGCAGATGCCTTTCAATAATGGCAATCCTGAAAGTATGTAGGATTGGAAACAAGAGGGCAAGAGCCATTCAACTGAAAAGCAAAAGGCAGACTTCTTGCTAACATATTAAAAGCACATGGGTGCTCGTGCGTAAAAATAAGACCAACAATAACAGTTTATCTGAGGAAGAGGATGGAGCTGTAATCAGTGCTGCTTTCTACTCTTCCCTTCTATCCCTGCCAGCAATCCCAGAGGAGAAAGGAGGAAGACAGCTGTGAGATCTCTAACCCCGTGGGAATTTCCCACCAACTCTGAACTCTATTTGCCAGACTGCTCTGTAGCCTTGGGGTGTAAAAAAGCTCTCATTGTTTTTAATTTTTAATTCATTGTTCCATTATATCACATTTTTCCCATCTTGCATGGAGCTGGAGCAGTTCACATAGTTTTCCTCCTCTCCATTTTATCCTCATAACAACCTTGTGAGGTAGGATAGGCTGAGAGTCTGTGACTGGTCCAAGTCACCCACTGAGCTCCATCGCTGAGAGGCGACTAGAATGTAGCTCTCAATTCTCTTGTCTAGCACTCTAATGCTGGGTTTTGGTGTGTGTAGATAGGTCAGAGCAAGGAGTTAGTGTTGGAGATTAGTGGGGAAAAGTAGGATCCTTCATACCCTTTCCTGTGGGTTTTCCACGGCTTTGGCTTGTCTGCTAGATAGGCTACCTCTGACCCAGCAAAACTCTTCCTATCATGATTCTCCCAGGAAAAGGAGTGACCGTTTCAGATTTCTAGCTGTTAAAACACCATTTGGACATTATTCCAAGCACATCAGTATGCAAGTAAGTGTAATGCCATTTTGGAATCAACACTAAAGGAGTGACACAACATTAAAAATAATTGCATTTTCTTTTTTTACAGTATCGTTCTTTGATTCTGCTTCAGGTGAGTGCTACAGTTATGTAAGAGCGGTGTTCAAGCTGTGCCTCTGCTCAGCACAGGATCAGGATGGAAAGCAATATGATGAGACAGGATGTGTCAGGAAGCCCAGTATAATAGTACATTGACTGATTTTTATTATGTCCCATTTTTATGTTTGCCAGTGATTCACTTCCTGTGAGCAAGGTGTCTTCAAGGCTACATGTTGCATTGACAATTAACCCAACAGAATTGCTGTCCAGTGTACTGCTATTTTATTGGTGTCCCTCTTGATTTCACAATAGGATAGACAGAAACAAATGGGCATGGTTTTTTTTACACTAACTAAATAAAGGGCTCCCAGTTAATTAATTGCATTATTATTATAAGATGCATATTGCCGATTAATTTTTGTTGTTTATTATTACTTGATTTCTAGCCTGCCCCATTAGCCACACAGCTCCCTGAGCAGGTCAATTTTAGAGAATATATTAGTTTCAAAGTATGTATTCTCCTAAAATTGCACATTTCTGCATTCAGCATCCACTCTTGAAATCATTCTCACCAGATTGTGTGGGCTTTAATTCCCTGTAGGGTGGAACCATTGGAAACTAGATCCCACAGAATCTGGAAGGCTAGCCATTTTTCCCTGAAGGGCCACCTGTGCTTTTGCTACATGCTTGGCAGAAACTCAAAAGCTGGAATGTTCCCATCAATAAACTTAGTGCACCTGTTGAATTTCTGCCTACCATAGTACTGTTAGAGGCATGCCCACTGAGTCAGGGGAAAGGAGACAAATTAAGTGTCCTAATTCTGTCATTTGGCATGGGCAGCTGGTCCATCTATTAATGCTTAACATCATGTGATAATTAAACCAAACTGTGCCAGTGAACTCTGGCCAAATTGTGTGAGAACTGTGCTTATTCTCAGCACTGAGTCTGCTTTGTCCTGCACTATATTGAGTGGTAATAGTAACCTAGTGCATGTTTTCACTTTAAAAAAAGGGAAGATAGAATTCTTCCCAGAGTTCCAGTGGCAGCTGAATGAATAGCAAGTAAAAAAAAGAAAAAAATGAATCAGACCAAGGTGCTGTGACCTCAGTGTTTTTATGTGTAAAAGAGACATCCATAGTCATTTGACCCATGTTTTTAACATTGGCTTGGCATCCTTTGATATTGTCCATTACCAAACAGATGGTGCAATAGTTACTTTTTGAAGGACCAAGCCAGCATAATAACCACATCTGGAACTAATCTGTAGTCCCCTAACCCAATAGATCACCCAGGTTTAAGAGGGCCTTCTCATCTAAATGGCTCACACAAAACCCAGACAAATAATCCAAAACCCTTATGGCTGTCTCAAGCTGTATCTTGCAGGCCAACCGCACATTTCCTATAGAGTTGCCTTTATTTTTTTTAATTGATGCTTCCATTTTCTTTTAACATTAGTTTGTGACCCATCTAAGTTAACAAAAACAACAAGGACAAGCTGACCAAAATCACAATCCTAGGCAAGTTCAGACAGAAAGTATTTCTAAAATTCCCAGCATTCCCTAGCCACCAAGGGGCTAGCTGGGGAATCTTGGGAGACGTAGGCCCTTTTTTCCGTCTAAACTTGCATAGGATTATTTTTCAGGGTTCTTTTAGAAATAGAATTGTAATTGATTAACTGCTGATAATGCCTTTCCCTTCATCTAAAAGCAGGAATGGCAAATTTATTTATTGTTAAATGTCTATCTTAGGAGTTGAAGATAGCAAACGTGGGGATCTGAAGCAGACTGCAGGCCAGGTGATAAGGAAGCACCGACTTGCTTAGCTTCGGCAGGTTGCTGCATCGTGGTCATACGCCTAGAGACATATGTGCTGAATGTCAACCTATGGCACATGGAGAGAATTTCGGCTCAATTTTAGGTGCATTCAGGTTTTGTCCAATGGTGACTCCAGACTGTATCCATTTAGCACAGGGATAGGCCAGGTATGGCCCACAGGCTATATATGAGTCTCTGTGATTGTTGATGCAACCTGCACATGCCCCCCCCCCCCCCGTGGCTGCCATCCTATGCTGTGATAAAAGAGGTGCCTGCAGACTCTTCCCCATGTGCCCCTTTCCTCAGCAGCACTGGGATTCCACCAGCCTGCTCAACAGCTCCTTGGTGGGCTTGTGAGAGCCCGATTCTCCAGGGAAATAGGGTGGCAGGGGGATAATTCCTTGCGCACCCTTTTTCAGAATTGCCGCAATGGAGCAAAGTTAAATCTTCCATTGCAGCAATTCCTAGCAGCATTCCTGCAACAAGGGGGTTTGCAGTGATTCTCCAGGGAGATCAGTTGCAGTGGGAGTTACCCCTGCCTGCCCTTTTCCCACAGTTTGCTGAGCTCCTGCCAGCTCTCCAGAGAGTAGACATGAGAAGGAATGCTCTTACGGAATAGCTAAGCTTACTCTTTTGCAGAAGCGTGATACGAAGATGCAGGTTCCCCCTTCCCCTGCATGTAAAAGCACTCATTTCCACTGGAGGGCACCAACTCACATCCTATTGCCAGATTTGCTGGCATACTCCTCTGAAATAAACATATCTAT